GCACCCGAAATAAGCTCCCATTAACGTGGAGCGAAACGTCGGACATCGTGCCCCACAATGTGCGGCACGAACAGAAAATGCCAAAGAGCCTGCGCTGCCGCGGAACCGCGGAAGAGTACGAGCGGAATGCAGTAATTCACCGCCACATGTGCCGCCAATGTAATCATGTCGGACGCCATACTGCGGGAGCTGAAGGGCACGTGAATGCGTCGTAATTGGCTCGTGACGCGATCGTGCGGTTCGCCCTGTTCCGTTGATCGCGAGCTGTTCCGTAATTCCCGCGGCCGTAAGTCGGAGCCGTAACGAGCGCGCCTCGTGAATGCGGGGACGTCCCCGGCGCACGTCGGCACCAGGGCGGGCGGCGGCTTCCTCGGCGTGAATGGGCGTCGAGGAACACGCTGCTCGCAGCATGCAGCCCCACACGGCGCGCACGACTCCCACCTCTCCGTGCATTGTAGAATACCACGAGATATTCTTTGGGTCTTTCGGTAAAGCCACGTAGATAGAAAAAATAAAACAAATATCACGACGTTTCGTTCGCAACACAAGCAATCGTCATCACACACGATCATTATATTTGTTTTATTATTCTACGTGGCTTTACCGAAAAACCCGAAGAATATGAATTCCTACGGTCACGAAAGCTTTAAGTCGAGATTTATTCTACGAGATCTCATGGAGTGCGGCGGGACGGCAGAGGGATGCAAAATCCATCATTGTTGACTGTACTTCTATGCTCCCCGTCTTCATTTACCCCCCGCTCGCATGTGCTTAGCATTGTGAGGGTATGGTGGGAGATGCCCTTATCCAGCAGTGGATTGACAAAAAGGCTGGATGTCACGTGCTACATTTCAATAACGCGACGAGTGATTCCAGACCTAAGGACGATTGGAGCAGACCAAACGTTAGTCATTTTTGTGGGGCAGGATGACCTTGATTCTTAGTCCACATGTGTCAGAGACGAGCTTGTGGCCTGAGTGACGCTTCCCATCTTGACCGCGTGCTCCTGGGAATGCACTGCACACAGAGACCGTGCCACGAGAATGCAATGATGTATTTAAATAATATACATTTAAAGATACATTTAAAGATACATTTGCCTGCGTGTCGTGGAACTTCATGACGTAGGATCCCACGCTGCAGCCTGCGCCACTTTTGCTCTCTTTAGCGTAGGAAAGACCTCAGTAGTCCGACACTGCTCAGAGAGCCGAGTGTTAGACACCCGAATGAAATGTGAAATGACAAGGGACACGTGCGGAGGAGGAGGGCGGGCGGGTGGCGGTGGTGGTCGCGATGGGGGATGGCAGCAATGTTCGCAGAGTTGATGTCCGCACAAGGCGTCGCCCTGGAGAGGAGTGCTGAGGAAAGCGTTCCGAGGCTTCCGGAAAAGTCACGGACTTTCATAACCCAGTCTCAAAACACGGCTGCGATGGAGCTTTTCACGCACTCGTACATACAAACACACACACACCAACTATACCACTGGCAGAGAGGGTCATGCCCATACGGCATACATGTTACTTTTTGTTTTGTTTGGTCCTAATTCACATGGGACGGTCTCTCTCACTCAGCGCGAGCTATGAATGATAACGAGCGGGACAGCGTGACGCAGTGCTGCCACGGCGATAACGCGTTTTATTAAGGCGTGCCGCTGAGGCTCCGGGTCTGGGAAGCGAATAATCATGGAACTAATTACTGATAACGGCTTTTATTTATAATGTCAGGCACGTAATGGCTTCTGACCTTTGATTAATTAAAATGATGCCTTTTATTTTACCCTGCTCCGTATGGAGGAGCGTTGGGGGACAGGCTGAGATATCGCGTTCCGTGACGATAGCCCGTGCTCCCGCGGGGCGCTGCGCTTCAAACACCCCCATCCATCCCCCCACACTGCGCTGGCAAGAACCTAGAGGAAGCTTCAGAACACTCGGGGAGCTTAAGAGTTCAGCGGAAATGTCAGATTCCCATGGAGCCAGACTGTGGCAGGCACCCTGTCAGAACGCAGAGGAGGGACATCATCCGCCATGCAGAGGGGGACGCGTCGAGCCTCACGCCCCTCCAGCGTTCTCGGGCATCTCCACGAACACAAGACAAATATATGCAAAACGTTCAGCGGATGGTCACGGGATTTCTTTTTTAGAGACAGAAGGAGCCAAAGGCCCACGTGGCAGTGATGGCTAATGCATCCTTTGCTGCGTGTTGTTCCGTCCAGTTGCACTATACCTGTAGAGCAAGTAGGACACACGTCACGGATAGTTTAGCGATGGCCACTGGCAGGAACATTCTGCGCGGGTTTATATTTCAGGTGCCGCGTGCACGCCCCCGGTATGCCCAGACGCACGCTGTGTATTCGGTGGTGGACACTGGAAAGTTATTGGAGTGACGAAATATAGACAGCTGGCAATATGGAGGGGGGAATTCATTTTGACAGCACGCTTTGTGATAAGGTGACTTGCTTTGTCTGTCTTGAGCACGAGGCATTTCCTACTTAAACTTAAGTCAACGAAATAGGTCACGCTGGCATCACAAAGCCTCTGTGTTGAAGCTGCCATTTAACATTCCTCGAGTAAATGGTTCTGAAGGATGGTACATTTTCTTCATCGTTTTGTAGGCATCAAAAGGACATTTGAAACTCTGTGTAAAACCCTACGGAGATACAATCCACACGACTCGGTGCTCTGCTGCCTGTAGCAGCATGCCCGGCGCGCGTGGCGGGGCTCCATTTACAGTCGGCATGACAACGGTTCCGTCGGCGTTCTGGCATCCTGGTCTCAACCCAGACATCACCATCAAACACGCGCAAGCCTGTTGGCGGGAGGAGTTAAATTTTATATGTTCTTTTAAGAGCGGTTTTATTTATACGTTTTTACATAATGCATTAATCGGAATGTCATATCATGTTTAAACCGTAAAGATGATTGCACTTGCAAAAGGGTATATGTACGAGCTTTGCATGCTTGAGAGATATGGGCAATCGAGGTAGAAGGCCCAGTGGTGTGCACGCAGCTGTGTTCGTGCCTTGCGCTGCATCATTCACGGAACGCACAGAGTGCACAGAGTGCACAGAGTGCCGTGCGTTTGTATTCCACGTCGGCAAGCCGGGTGCGTAGCGCGGTGGCAGAGGTCACGATTTCAAATTCTCTTTGGGATTTACTCAAACAAAACCTTCTCTGTTAGGTAGACAGCAATGGATGTTCTGTGGATAAACTGATCCCGTCATAGAAATATAGAATTTAGGCAATTGATAAGCGTCCACCCCGTGCTTGTTTGATGGTGAAGATGTTTGACTTTTAAAACTTTTTCATTTACTCAGCAAAACTTGAATTGAGTCTCAAAACTACTTTATAGGAGAGTCCTGCTGGTTGCTTGGGAAGATTCTCAATAACCATTGGTTTGTGCTTTGAAGAGAAAAGGAAATTACCCAGAGAAAACCCAGGCATACGAGTAGCCTCTGACATTCAAGGCTTGTAGAGATGTATTGATTAGCATTGATTCTCATGCTCAAGATGCATTCAATGAATTGTGTGTTTGAGAATTGGTCATTTACAACGTATGCAGATTATGTTTGAATCTTGCCTTGAGACGAATGGAACGAATTACATACAGGGTAAACAAATTGTAACAGATGGCACAGACAAAACTAATGAGACTGTAATGAAGAGACAAACAATAATTGAATATTAGATTGAATTGTGGCCCCTGATTGTGACAGTTCATTGAATTCTGTGTATATGAGAGAAGAGGACATTCTGCAGGTGAATAATTTACATGTCCAGTGTTTGGCAAATGCCTGTATTCAATTGCAATTGGCTCGTTAGAGGAAAATTATTTTCCTGGACAAAATTCAGGCACATGCCTAGACTTAGACAATCACATCTACTCCCACCGAGGGTGAGATTAGGAACTCACGAATGGTCTAGCCCTGCCGCAGCGGTGTAGCTATTGGGTGTGTGGGTGGTCCAACTGCACCAGGGCACACGGGATGGACGAGTGTTGGCAACCAGTCTATGAAGAGGTGGTGGGAAAAGATTTGATAAGGGGCCTCAATTCAGTTCTTGCACCAGGGCCATGCCAACCACGGCTGGGGCAGCGGTCTCTACCACCCACTCAGATGACAGCAGTGGTTGGTGCCATCTCAGGTCATCAGCAGGGTAAATGCCTGGTGGCCGAATAGCGTGAGCCTCTTAGCTAACTCCATGAAACAATGAGCGGGTTTGGGGGTTACCTTTGTCACAAACGAGGTGGATTGACGAGAGTCACTGGGAGGCGTGGGCTACTACCTGGCTGAAACGCTGCATGCTGTTGGCATCGGGTGTCGGAGATTGTGCTTTTCCATGTCTATATATGTTTAAAGTACCGTGTTTAATATAGCCTATGATGTGACAACGATGTACTTCATGGTTTATGTATACACAAGACCTGGATGTCGGTATCAGCAGAACATTGTCACTTAGCAGGGCGGTGGTGGCTACAAACTTGGCCTGTAACCCAGCACTGTGGAGGTAGCGAGGTGTTGCTGGATCACCACTCGTATGTTATGAAACGCCCTTCCTGTGGGTGTCGAGGTGGAGCCATACCCTGGCTCACCAGCAAAAGGCGGTACACCTGTTCCATCTGTATGGAATAGAGTGTTGCACCCTCACACTCTTGGATTTTGTGCAGGTGCTCTAGTTTGCTCCCACATGTAAACCCACATTGATTGACCAATGACACCTTCGTATATATCGAGGACCACAGAGCTTAGATGAGAATTTGGCACCAGCTCACCACCTGGCTGCTGCATGTCCTGCTCATCTGTAGTTCTCAGTGGATATGAGTCGTTCTTCCCTTTCGAATACAAGCAGAAATTATTATTCTTATTATATTAACAATGTTTCCAGCACTCATGGCAACTACATTACGCCAGGGCCCTGCCGGTAGCACCCGTGGTGACGCGGTCCCCACGGTGCGTGCACGCCCCCAGCGCGATGACGACGGTGGCGGTGTGCGTGTGTCCCCAGATGCACTGGGCGGCTGTGGCCTGTGTGCTGCTGTTGGCAGTGGGGCTGGCCTGCGGAGAGATGCCGCGCTCCGACCAGCTCGCCGGCGGAAATTTTGTCGAGGAAGGTCCCTGGAACCGGTTCCGTGATGTGAGTGCTCACCCGCTGTACACTCGACAACGTTGCGTGCTCACAGACCCGCGGACACGACGCGCGTGTTGTGTACATTTTGCAGCAACAACAACAGAGGTAGCAGTGGCCACCGCGGTTCTGCAGTAAGTTTCGGTAACATCGCCCATGCGCGTTACCAAGTTGGGTGCACTTTGACAACTCGTACATGAACAATAACAATGTATACTTTATACAGCGTCTAAATGTCACCGTGTCTCAAGACGCTTCACAACTTCAGAGAAACTCCGTTCAGGTTGAACGGAGGTGGTGAGGGCGTGAGTGTCAGGGCAGGGACACATTGGAGAGACTTTTGACTTTTAAACAACTTTTATTGCCGCCAGCAGCAACAGCACTGGAGGCGATTAGGATATGAAATGCACAAAGTCACCAGCAAACAAATAAAACAAACGCTATAAATCCACACGCTGTTGCGCTAAATGTACCACGCACAACACGAAAGAAAAGTCACGTGGAGATAGAGACAAACGAACTGACTCATTTTGCAATAATCATTTTAAGAAACCTACTCTGTTGGAACAAAGTATAATAATTCGATAAAATGCGCTTGGCAATTTAAAACAATCGTTTCTGATGCAGGTATTAGATTCAAGCCTCAGCAGGTGCACCTTAAAAGTACTTGCATGATGTGAGCGTCAGTCCACAGGAATGCTCATAGGGGTTGGGGGTTGTGAAGTAAGAGTGACCATAACCTTCCCTTTCCCCACTCCTAGAAAAAAATCAAAGAGTGATTGGGCTCCCACTTCTGGTTTAAAATGTCTTAAATATCGACCATGTTTAGGCAACACAGGCAGAGCAGAAAATCTGGACACTCGCCACCCTATATTTGTGTTCGTGGACAAACAGAACTAATGGCAAGTGTAAATCTCCTCTCCGATTCCGTACGGCTGCTGTGTTGGTCACGGGAAATGAAGCGGCCATGCATCCCGTCTGTGTGTGCGTGCGTTTGGTGGCCCGCTTGTCCAAGCTCACCCTCTGTTTGTTCATCCTCGCTTCTCATCCGGCTTGACGTTTTGGGCCTTTGGGAGCCTGTGTGCGCTCAGCAACCATGATTTTAAAATAATAATCTCTATTCTCTATTCAAATACAATTTCAGGCATGACACACTGCACGGTCCTGATGATTTCTAAACAACAATAGTGCTGTTTGATGTAGGAAGTGCCGATTTAAATTAAGATCGTTTATCTCAAGAGCAGGGAGAGCTGATTCAAATTAAGATCATCTATCTTAATGTATATGTCACATGGGACACACGCTCGCACACACACACATACAAGATCCTCTATCTCAAATTGAATCAGTGATGTCTCTATCACGTGGGACAAACATCTCCTATATAGCTTACACAGACTCTAGAGAAAAGGTATGTTCGCGAGCACCTATTAATACCGGTGCAGTGCATAAGGGGGTTGGGCTACCTTTATTTCCCAAGTGCCAGTGTTTATGCACCAGCGCCTTGTACTCATTTGCAAGGATTAGTCGACCTCGTGGAGACCCAGAACTGGTTTCAGATCTCACTCACCCACTGATGCTAATGCCATGGCTAGGACTCGAACGCAGGTCACTGTTTTCTTAGCTAAGTGCACTAACCATTGCACCACCACTCTCACATGGGACTCAAGTACACACGTACAAAAACAGGAGATCTTTGTTATAATTTTAATCGGTACTTTCTATGCCATGTGGAGCTCATTGTTAGCGATCATCAGGTGCTTGCAGTTAATTTGTATGTTAAGGGAGAACACTTTTAATAATGAAAGGGTTTTCAGTGGTGGGTCACGACGACATGCGCTTAGGAAACTCCGCCTTAGACAAGTCCTGCAACACCCACTATGTGCGCAAGCGTGTTGGCTAATATTTCCTACTAGAAACTATATAAAATAATATACTATGCCAAGCAGGGATTGCTTGGCTGGTAATTGAATGAGAAATGTTCATGGAATACCAGATGTTATAGGCTTTGACTGTGAGTTGGCAAGGAGATATCAAGTACAGTAATGGATTCTAGGATATATCTGACACTTTGAGCATTACGCTTCCCCCCCTACATGAAGCCAAACGCTCGTTCACGGGACCGACCAACCAACACATTGCAGGGCCGTCGAGTGAGGCGTTCCTGGGTAAATAAATAGTACTACCACAGATGGTGAGCTTGAGGGCTTTTGGAGGTGTAGGTCTTTATCAGAAGGATACAAACCAATTTGATGTAAATTACAAACATAGTTGGGACTGAACGTTTGCAATGAACTAGAACCATTGGAAGAAATCTCTTGCAAGCAAAACCGTTGATGATCTACCAGCGTTGAGGTGGCGTGATTTTCGTCCGTACGATTATCAGTGCAGGAACGCGTGTCCATGGAACGTCGCGTGGCCACATCTGGTACGTTACACCGCAATAGGCATGTATGCAAGAGATCCAGACACGACTCATCTCTCACTTGAACGGAGGACGCCGTCATGGGGAATCGATTACGGGCGTGCGGCGCGCCGAACTGCGGCCCGTCACGGTTGGGCCCTCCCCACCATCGGCCAACTGATGCCGAAACCCTGCACTTAGCCTGCGCCCTAACCCTAAACCGCAAACTGCCAATTGTAGCCCAGTAATTGCACATGCACGCAAGGCTTTCTGTGTGTGCATGCCTCTGTTTTTGAATTGCATTGTCCCCAGTGATGGCTATTGGTGACTGGTAACCTCATCCCAGAATATACACAATGCGAAGGAGATATAAATAAATACATTCAAAGAAGGAGCAACACAATCCAGCAGATACATTACCTTGGAACGATCGCTGTGTGTGGAACGATATTAGACAAAAATGGTGCCCAATGATATGCTTTAATTGAATGCTCTTTGAAGTTTTTCATCTTAATATATCTCTAAAGCATTGCCGTGATGGCATATAAAGAGCGTTTAAACAAACTTCAAACCGGCAATAACGCCATGCATAGTTTCCTCTCATTTGTTGCCATGTGAAGATTACAGCACAAAATCTCTCCGAACCTGAGTCATACTCTCTCTCGGGCTTCTCTGTGTGCTGGCAAGAAGGGCTGTTGCCCGAAACGTCGCCTATTTTATACTTTTCTCTCCATTTATGACGTGATAATTTTTATTATAAATGTTGTTTTTAGTTGGACGAAAAACGACATCATGATACATAACTAATAACTCAATGCAATATCAGACAATTTGGATTTATATAATATCTAAATACAACTGCATCTCACGATGATGTACATAAACGATGGGTATATTTATTTTATAGAGAGAGGGGCAGTCAGTCATAGGCAGAAGGAAAAAAGGGAAGATTTTGATCCTGAACTGACACACTTGCACATAGAGACCAATATCATGCCATAAGAGACCCATGACTTACAGATGAATGTGTACTACACAGAGATTGACCCATATATGTGAGTCTATGGATTACTATAGAGTCTATGGATCTCTTTTTAATTATGTGGTTCTGGATATGCCTATAAGACTCGGTGTATGTCTACCGTGCAAGAGTTATGTATAAATTATTATGCAATACAGTGGGGATGTACAGAGTAGGTAAATTTGACCGTGGCTCAAGACGCTGTCCAGAAACAACAGCCATATTAATTTTTAAGAGCAAAAAAAGGCAGTCTTCTAAAGACAAGAGTCTGGACTTGAGCAGTGGCGTGGAGTCGAATGCAAAAGCACGGATGGATGGGGGAAGCGAGTTCTAGACCATGGGGGGCAGCAGAGGAGAATTAATGACCTCCATGAACCTTATCACCGTTTATTCTTATTGAGGTTGTATTCCTCTCCGATTTAATCAGTGAATTTTAAGGCCTTGCCAGGTATGAGATATTTATAAAACTATGTTCGTATTGTCCAGTTGAGAGCGGTAATACAATCGGTTATTCTCCCAAGGAATGTCTCATTGGTTGCTCAAACATGCTGAAGTGTAAATTAATATATGGAATACAATCTGATGGCTCTGTCAACACTGTAGTTATGATATACATCGTCACCTGAGATGGACCGTTCATATCCATGTGTGCATGCGTGTGTGCGCGTGTGTGTGTGTGGGCATATGTGTTCGTGCGTGTGTGTGTCACTGGCCGACATTGACTATTATTTGAACCAGTTCTGGGCTCCCATAGGTCGACTCGGCCTCAAATCAGTAGCTGGTGCGGTGTGTAAACATCGCCACTCGGGAGACAAAGGCCGCCAGGCATGGTGCTGGCCGCCCACCACCTCGTGTGACATACCGGCCTTCATATGTGCTCGCTAACAGCATTTGCCCCAACAGTCCGTTAAGGCTATATGGGAGATCTTTGTCTTTGCATGGAGTGGTGGCATGGTGGTTAACTAAATGTGCTGTACATCTTGTGACGTGAGTTTGATTCCTGGCCATGGCTAACATCACTGGTGAGTGATATCTAAACCGGTCCTGGGCCTGGGGTTTAAATGAGTACCTGGGGAGACTAAGTGAGTCACTAGGTGAGTGTCTGAGTGGGTGAGTGAGTGAATGGTATCATTATCGAGTGAGTAAGTGAGTGAGCTCGTGTGTAAATGAGTGAATATATGAGAGTGAGTGAATTCATGTTTTAGTGAGAGACTGGGTGAGTAACTGAGTGAATGATTGAGTAATTGAGTGAGAGGATATGAGTGAGAGAATGATTTAGTAATTGAGTGAGTGAATGAGTGAGCGATTGTTTGTCTAATTGGGTGATTTAGAGAATGATTGAGAGAGCACAGGCATGTCTGATTGGGTGTTTGCGTGAATGAGTGAATGATGAAGCAAGTGCATTGATATATAACCACCACTGTCGGGTCGTGGTGATGCATGCCTGTAATCCAGTACTGTCGAGGCGAGGGTTGGTAGATCGCACAAATTTAGCGAAACTTCCTTCCAGTGGACGTCGATATGCCAAACCTTGACTTACCAGGAGAAGGCAGTCCAGCAAATTGTGGGCTAATATTATTTGTC